TAATATTAAATAATTAATTCTCTAATATATAAAAATAAAAAACTCTACAAAAGGATATTTGGCTCTAAAGAAAGCTCATAAAATAAATCATCAAATTATTAATACAAAAATAATTTTTCACCTATATAATTTGGATTCAAATTTCTTTTTTTTTTCGTCCCTTTCTTTCATAAAAGTTTTAATTAGTTAGCTTATTTCATTAAAAAAAAAAAAAATTCTTCGGTGCATTCAATTGTTGACTTGATCCTCTCTAGTTTTCAACAATCTAACTCACATCCTAAAAAATAAAGTAAACGAAATTGTCAAATTATTTTGTCCCACCTAACATGGTACATGGAATTTCTCGATAGACTCTAGTCCTTATCCCTTCCAACCTCCACCGACTTCGTGGGTTTCTTCATTTTTAATTTTTTTACTCTTCTTTTCCATGTTTTATTAATAAATTGAATTGTTCGTTAGCACGAACAGATAGAAACCCTCGCTGCCTCCCCTAGGTATGGAAAGAACAGCACCTTTTTTTTTTCTTTTTTTTTTTCACCAGTTGAGTTGGTCAAATATATAAAGTTTTGGTGTGTAATTGGTGGGAACAAGAGATATAATTTTCGAGCATTAACCAATCAGCTTGCATCCAAAGGTCAAAACTCTTATCAATCGTATATTACAAGAAAACAAAGCCATGTGAAATTAGCTGTTCTCTCAAGTTGTATATATATTTAAATAGTAAAAATTTATTTATATATAAATATTATATATTATATTTATATAAAATTTTAATAAAAATATAATATATAAAATTTATATATAAATATTATATATTATATTTATATAAATTTTTAATAATTTATATTTTACTTTTAATAATTGAGATTTATTTATATTTATTAAAGATAATTATTTTTATATTTTCATTTAAAAAGTTTTATTATAAATTTTAACTATTAAAAGCAAGAAAATAAATGATTGATATTTTATATAAATATAGTATATAAGATTTGTATATAAATGAATCCCTAATCTATATTCAAATATCTTATTTTACATTAACTTACAATGAAAGTTTTGAGGCTGCCATCAAAAAAATAAATTTTTGTGAATACACCAAGTAAGGTCAATGTAGAGTATGTTAAGATCATTTGAGAAGAATTAATTTTGAATGCGTAAAAATTGACCCGAGACACCTTCTAAATACTAAAAACAAAAAATGATTTTAGATTAACCATTAAAAAATCTAAGCACTAGCAAATCATATTATGTCATTGAGCATTTTCATATAATGTGTGAAAACCCCAACCATTCTAGCTATGTCATTGTCTCACCTTTTGATTTGCTGCTTGAAGAATTTTCTCGAAGTTCTCCATCCTTCCATGAATGTCGCCATGATTAGCAGACCAAAAATGAGTTCAAAGGTGAGATTGGAACCGATTCAAGTAGGAAGGAAAATGGAACAGCCAACAAGTTCAAAATTCTCAGATGGCTGGAAGTTGAAATTCACTCACAGATCAATAGCTGTAGTATCCACACGGAAACAATGGGGCCCTGTGCCATAAAACATGAAAGAAACATCACTATCTTTGAGAAAACATTTGGTCATTGACTGCCCAAACATGATGACTAGAAACATGCCATCAGAAGTCATGCAACTAATTTCGCTAAAAAATCATGTTATCTTAACCAAAAAGACACAAACAAAAGTGCTTTCTACTTCAAATGGAGATTCTAATTAACTTATGATTTAAGTAGAATTCATTTTCTCATTTGAAAATGTAAAACATGTATACCTGCCTGAAAAAAAAAAAAAAAACAAACGAATGAACAAACAAACATTTCTAACTCGCCTCGCGCTTTAATAGCTCATGTGTTTTTAAAAAAACCCCAAGTAATGAGATGAGTTTTTATCAAAAAGAATAAGAAGAATCAAATAGAATCATTAGCCATTAGAAACTACAATTACATTAATCAACGGCATGTAAGTTTCAAGAGTTGGTGGAATTATTTCTAGTAATCTTAGAGATATCTTCGTTATTCTTTTAATTAATTTATGTAATTCCTCAATCCTACATCAAAAGAAGAATATGATTGTGAGTTATATATAATTAAGTGTAAAGATTAATTATTATTATTAATTTAAACTTAACCTTTTAAACCTCCCATGAAGTTTATGCTTCTTGAACTTGTAAAAAGCTTTTGCTTTTCCATATCAATCTCAACAAACATACAAGTCCGAAGAGTAGGGTTATTCCTACATAAATACTACTATCTTTGTCCTAAAATAATAGATATTTTTTACTTTACCTTATATTTGGGTTGAGGGGAATGGAGAGAAGGGGAAGGGAGAGGAGGGAAAGTTTTCCCCTCTATTTTTCTCTCATCTCTTCCTCTTTTTTAGATAAGTAACTAAATTAAAAAAATAAAATAAAGTAAAAGGAATTTTTCTCCTCTCTCCTCCTCTCCAATCTTTTCAATAACCGAATAAAAACAAAATTTCCCCTCTTCTTTCCACCTCTCCTTTCCCCTCAATCTAAACAAGCTAGTAACACCTGTTTTAGAATAACAATTGGTTTTTCATATTTTAAGAGAAACAAATAGGCTTTTTCTTATTTCACTTTATGATTATCTTTTCATTGAAATTATCCATTATATCATAAAAAAGTTTTTTTATTTTTTTAAAGGGGAAAATAGGTAAAATAAAAATTGATCCCAAATCCATGATCCAAGATAAAAGCCAAGCGTGTTTATTATTTTGTGACAAAAGTAATAATTATTAAGATTACATGAGGGTACTTGATAAAATTTTTAAAAAAAAAACTTAAAAATAAAATATTCTTAAAATTCAAAAATTAACTTTTAAAATAACTTTTTCTGGAAGTTTCTTCAAAACAAAATATTCTTAAAAATTCAAAATTTAATTTTAAAATAATTTTTAAGAAAGTTGTGAGATAGTTATTTGCAATTCGAGCTCACAAGAGCATAGGTTGAGAATAGTGTTGTTAATGAGTTTGAGCTCATGTCATATTATCACGTTCAAAATGGTTTTTCTCGAGTACTCTTAAGTTTCAGTTAAGTTAGTGTTATTCACTACAACAATGCATTGATACTATTAAACTTTCTAGCCCTTACTAGTAAAACTTCAAAACTTCTCAAAAAAATATAGAACAAACAATGTATCCTCAAATTCACTATTATTATTATTATGAATTAATTCATCGTAATTGTTTCATCTTCTTCATCCTCTCACTTCTCCACTTTCCATGGCATTATATACTAAATAATGGTATAATTTCCACTACCTCCATGCAATTACAATAGTGATTAATACTCTATAATATCAAGTATTTAGATGGTAATAATGGATTTCCTTATAATCTCTCTATTAATAGAAAATTAATTCTTATAATCTCTCATTTAGTGAGTGTTTATTTTTTATAACTTATATCATTTATTGATCCTTATACATAGGGCCTGTACTCTTATAAATGAATAAAAAATAAATTGGGATGAAAGAAATATAAATATATTATATCTTTATATAACCTCATTTATCTCTTCAATTTTTCTTCTTCTTATAATTAAGTCTTTCTTTATTTTACAACAATTATAATATTATTATATTTCAAGTTCTTTCAACGAATTATTAAGCCCACAAAGGACATGAACAAATGGATTCTACGGACGAATGTAGCATTATTTTTCCCAATAAAAGATATACACCAAGTCTAAGTTGTCACTTGTTTTAGTTGGCCAAGTAAAAAGCCTAAGTTGCCAAAGTAGTTGCTTCACAGCCATCATGCACACAAGCCAAGACATCTCTATAGTCCCTTGAAATGGTGAATGAATCATAAACTTTTCCATCACGGCTCTTCTTGTACTCAAACAGCAAGTATGAGTGGTTAAAAGCCGTTAATTTACCGAACCCATGATCATAATCTCTGTAAATACTCCAGTTGGGAGTGACAGTACTGTACTCTGATAGGTGAGCACCTCCCCCACCAACGACAACATGAATTGTTCCAGTTGCCGTGCCTGAATAATTATGTTTTTCGTTTTTCACACATTGGTTCTACATCACCATCATAAACAAGAAAAAGTAAGAGACATTATGTAATTAATTTAAACCATGCAATGCAACCCTTCTGTAACTTATGTCTAACAAAGGTTATTAATTTAAACCATGCAATGCAACACTTCCGTAACTTATGCATGATGACAAGGCAATAGAATGAATGGATTTAAATTAAGATATGGACTTAAAAGTCATTAACCATACCTGGTAGATTGGGCATGACCTTTCATAGTTGTGGACATGGCCATAAAAGGCAATGTCTACCTTATATCTTTGCCAAAGCTTCTGCAAGCTTTCCCTTCCCATAGGCTCTTCAAATGAGCCCTCCAGGCCATAATATTTATCAGAGGAATATCCAAGGACCCGATGGGCTGCAAAGATCAACCAAGGCTGCTTACTTCTGTCTGCTGAAGCAAGGCACTGTTCAATAAACCTATACTGTTCTGTTCCTTCCCTCCAGTCATGCTCAGTGTCAGCTATGCAGAAGTGAAACATGCCATAATCAGTTGAGTACCTGCATTTGCATGTATTATATCTCTTATCAAAGGTATAAAGCAAGAGTAGGAGATGCTGACAATGACAAAGTATAAGGGCAAAGGAATAGAAAATTAGTTAAAATGATTTACTGGACCTGATATGACCAAAACTGTATCTATTTTATTTCCCTAAAATAGCTTTACTTAATAAACATGCTGCCAACAACAAATGGAAAGGAGAGAAAATTTGATATATATGAAACACTTTAAGTGGCTAAGGTTCTGTTTGGTTTGGCTGTTATGAATAGCTAAATATCTGTTAGCTAATTGAATAGCTGATATCTATTATTTAATAGCTTAAAATCAGTATATAGGCTGATGTTTCCAAACACCCTAACTACCAGTTTAAGGAAAAAAGGCCATAGGCTTAAAAAATCAGCCAAACCAAACACCCTAAATTTCAAATGCATATATTTCCTCAAGACTACAAGGATGCAAACTACATGGTAAGGCACATACAATGCATGAACTGTTGATTTATCGCAAGCAAGTGTTGTAAGAAAAGGGAATTCTGTTATATGAGATAGCTAACAAACAGTCACTTTCTCCCCTAGGGGGGGTTCCAATAGTTAAGAGCTTTAACCTACATGTTAGAGGTTTGGAGTACAATCCTTAGGATAAGTGGGAAGGAGTCTGTTAAAGGGAAGGGTTATCCCTTGTTGTGTAACCCCTCATCACATGTACCAAAAAAATGAAAAAATACAATCAGTTTTCCTGAAAAGTGAAAACTCTCTCTCAAGATGTTCGGAATCTATCATAGTTGCATTCATTTCTTCACTTTATTTTCTCCCTCAATTTTCTTGCAATCAATTTCATACCTTTGTTCTCCTTTTGGTTCCCACTTTGTATACAACATTTGCTAAATAATGGCCAATAAGATCATTCATTTAGTAAGTTTCCTAAAAGATTTACCCCTCAACCCCACAAAACCAATAAAAAAAGAAAAAAAAAGAAAAAAAAAAAAAGGAAAAACAAGAGAAAAGAGAAGATATATAAGAGATCTAGACCAAGGTTAATTACAGAAGATACTCTAAGTTACCAAAATTTAGTACCTTTGTTCTCCTTTTGGTTCCCACTTTGTATACAACATTTGCTAAATAATGGCCAATAAGATCATTCATTTAGTAAGTTTCCTAAAAGATTT